CGACACAGGGAACATCTGGTCAAACCCCTCAGCTCTTCCACTCACAGACTCTTACCACAGCCCCCTTACCGGGAACCACACCTCTGTACCCCTCCCCGATGACGCCGATGACTCCAATAACTCCTGCAACGCCAGCGTCCGAGAGCTCGGGGATAGTGCCGCAGCTGCAGTGAGTGTCCCGTTGTGCCAGGGCAGCCTGTCCCTTCTCGGGCAGCCCTTTAAACACTTGGGATCAAAGCCACAGCAGCAGTTGGTCACTGCAAATCGGTGGGAAGGGAGGGCTGAAGAACTTATGGGTCTCCTCTAGCAATATGAGTAATTTCTGCTTTTATTTTTAGCTTGGTCTTGTTACTAAACCACTTAGTAATATGAATGGTTTCGTACTAATCTGTCAACCGTTCATCCTGTAAACATACCAGTGGAGGAGGATGTTTTATATGTCTTCAGTTACCACTGTTACTACTTTTAACTCTGCGCACTTCAGGAGTTCGTCGTGCTTTAGCTACAACATAGTCTGCATCGGTAATCTGGTATTTCAAAATATGTATACCTCTAAAGGTATTCTTATTTGTTATTCACGGGATGGTTGTGACCTGTTCACAAAAGCAAATAGCTCTGCTTTCCTCGGCGTGCAACTTTGTTGGTGAGGTATTAAAGCAGGACACAGGAATGTCGCAGCTGAAAGGGAATTAGAAGGGTAGAGGAAGTTGCTAGTTGAGGAGCTAGAGCGGAGTTGTACTTAATACTCCACGTTCCCTTTTCTAGCTCATGGTTACAGCTGAGTTTGTAGTAAGGGAAAAAAATCCTAGAACTAGTTTAGATTTAGATATGAAAGTATTTTCACAGAACTTTAGTTTTAAAGAGACTGTTACAGCAATTTACAGAAGGCCTGAAGCGATGTGGTTGATAACCTGAATTTTGCACTGAATTTTGCACTTGTTTTTTTTTTCCCTATTGAGGACCTTTAGATTTCAAGGTTTTCGTATAAGACAAGTTTCCAAGGAAATTTTGCATCTAAGAACTTCTCTTAAACTTCTCTGTCTATCCTGCTATCAGATCACCTAGCAATGGGTTTAATTCCTGGGTCATTCCCACTTAGTCCTGCACCTCTTCTTCCTCCTTGAAGGACATACCAAGGAAAATGTCCAATGGTTACTACCTGGTTTGTTCATGTTTCCAGCAGCTTGCCTGGTTGTGGTGGGAGCTCTCAGCATCAAGATTTTTTTCCTGCCAAACTGAAACAGAGGTTCTTCTCATGAGATGCTTTTCATAGTAGTTTTCAGATAAGGAGGAAGTGGCAGTCATGCCTTAGGAGCTTCTACCCTACAAAAGGAAGTTCCTGAGCCAAAACGCTGTTCAGTGCTCCTGTCAGTAGGAGAGATATCATTCAAACTCACTTGGAGAAAGAAAGAAAATTAAAATTAAATTAGCGAAGCTTGATTAAAAATGAGAAAGACACGTGAATTCTTTATTGTCTTTTTAATATGTTTCTCTGAACTGTCTTCAGGAATATTGTGTCAACAGTGAATCTTGGTTGCAAACTTGAACTAAAAACTATTGCGCTTCGTGCCCGAAATGCGGAATATAATCCCAAGGTAAGAGAAGTGTAGAGTTCATCCTATAACAGGTATATCAAAGGCATGAGTTGTGGGTGTAGTTTGCTGTAATAGATTGAATAACCTTCCAGCTATAGATGTAGTTTTATACTCTAGTTAAAAAAGGAGTCTTTAATAAACTTAGAACATTCTGTCACACTAGTAAAAAGCAAAGCATTTTACACTGATAGAGCTGTGTTTTACACAAGATTGTAATTTGGTAGATATAGAAAAACACACTATGGTTAGGAAGAACCTCCCCAGCAGTGTAACACTGTGGCCAAACATTTCGTAGAGCTGGTCTCTGCTACTGCTTAGATGGACGTGTTCATTCGTAGGGCTCAAATTTACTTTTTCATATTACTCTGAAACGTCTGATGGTGAAGTCTTGTTCATTTTCTCCCAACAAGGAGAAATGAAAGAATTCAGCTCCTGGGCTCCTGCCAGAGCCACAGTTGGTCTGTGGCTTCCTCCACCTGGCTGCTCCCCTGGAATTCTTGTGGCCATGGTGCAAGCTTTCATTTTGTTGTCTTGCCACCTCTCTGAGCTCTGTTCCTTCATGTTGTCCCCCAGTACTGATGGCTAGGTTTGGTGAAACAGCAAAATTAACTTTTTTTTTTTTTTAGGTTTTTTTCTGGCATGTTGACTTCTAAGTTGCCTGTTCTTTCTACATAGCAGTTTGTTGAGGCATGTATTTTGTTTAGCTCGGGAAACTTTGAACAACAGTGGATCTGGAGCATTGAATCAAGGAAATTGCTTAATTTTTCTTTCGGGTGACACCTCTTGGAAGAGTTATCTTTGCAACCACAGGAGTTGGACAGTGTTTCTAATAAAAGTTCAGATGTTGTGTAGTTGAATTGATTTGCCTTGGGAAGGCTTCAGTTTTCGTGGACTGTCGTTTTTTTTTGGTTTAGTTTTTAGGATTTTGCTGCAGTTTACCTGAGCTCCACTCTCAAAAATTAAAGCACACATGCAGGCATATGTGGTAAATAACTGTTACTCTAAGTTCATATCAGTGGTGCTGTTACATAATTGTGTGTGGGTAAGATATTAGGCAGCAAAAATGTGAGCATGTTGTGGTAACCCTTAAGGTGTAGGGGTAGGTGGCTGTGTAAAACTTGTAGGCTAGAATAATGAATAGGGAGTGCTGTCTTCCACAGCGGAGAGAAGAAAAGGGTTATGTAATGCACTCCTGACTTTTAGTCAGTACATTCATCTGTCAAAGCAGGATGTTGCTTGGCTGTATTATTTAAGCTGTATTTTCATAAGTGTGCTGCTGGTAACCCATGCTACCGCCTTGGTCATGGGACCGCGTGGTGAGCCGGTCCAAGTTAAATATAACAGGCAGACAGGGGTTTGTGTGTGTGCCCACATCAGTTTCCTGTATCTCTTGCTTCAAAGAGTTTAGGAATGTTTGGAAATGCAGGCAGAGATATTACAGTACTCGGAATAAAAAGCTCGTGCTGCTGCATTCTGCTGTGGTAGTTGAGGTTACCTCTCTTTACACAGAACTTTGATCTCCAGCTGTTCTGTTTGCTGGTTTTCTATCAGAGTCCAGTGTTTTGAGACAAAACAGATCATAAAATTTCCATCCTGCTTACAGCAGATCAAATATCAACATGTGGAGGAAATTATTTTTTTTTTATTTAAGATTGTCTCTCTTGCAAACGTTAGCATTGTTTATATGTTGCATATACAGTACGGAGAGGTAAGCTTAGTAAAATAGAAACACAGTGGTAAATATCCTCCCTGTCAGACTCTACCTCTCAGCCTGTGTTTGAAGCTACTTACGATTTGAGCATTTCAAGTAAATTTTGAGTGACCCATAAGCATGTTTGAACTCAGTATTTCTTTGCGATCCGGTGTAATTTGCACAATCTAAGTAGCAAGCTTGGTTTTAACGTAATGATTCCAGTGATATATCCCTAATAATCACAATGTTCACGTTTCAGCGTTTTGCTGCTGTTATTATGAGAATAAGAGAACCACGTACTACTGCACTTATATTCAGCTCTGGAAAGATGGTGTGCACAGGAGCAAAAAGGTACATTTAGGCATTACAAGCAAACTAACTCAGGCTGGCTTTTCTCATGTAGGAGATATCATCAAAGCATTATCATTTATATACAGTATTTGTATATATACAATAGAGTTGTACAGGTACAACTAAGTTTGCCTGCCAGTTATTTCAAATAGACTAATGTAAGTTTTTATACAAAATGCCTTTTCATGAATGAAATGTCCTTTCATGAATCAAAGGACTTCCCTATGAAAGGGGAAATGATACTTCTGTTTCTGAAGCGTTCGTACAGTCTGATAGACCAGTTTGCAGATGTGATTATATTCACGTTTTTGGCTTTGCAGTTAGCCGTTTTGTTTTTAAATTTATTTTTTTTTTTCAAATAATTGGAACTGGAACTGCTTAAACTGTGGCAGAGGAAGAGTGATCTCCTATATGAATAGTTTGATTCATCACAGGCCAAGAGCTCCAAGTTTCCGGTCCCTGCAGTTTGATCTGTTCTTAACATGATCATTGAAGCATAAGAATTGAAAACTAAACATAAGCTTAACTCCAGTGGGCAGGAGAGAAATTCTGCTCTGAAGGACTCTGTTAGGAATCTAGAAGGGATAAATAAGCTAATGAGCAGAGACGAATGAATGGAGCTGTACAGGAAATGCTTTCTCTGCCTTGTGATGCTTGAAGTTCAGAATGTCTTACTCTGCATTAGGAGCAACCGGATCCTCAGCTGTTTACAAAACTATAGCAAACAGCGTGGAAGTCCGAGCGGTTGTGTTAAGCTCAAGTTTGAGTGCCTGGTCTGAATCGAGCGGAGGATTTTGGCAGTTTACAGGCTTTTATAGAAACATGCATTTTCTAGCAGTAGTAGTTCAAATTTTTTCTGCACTGAAAAATTAAATAACAGTTTTCTTGACCTGTTGGAGAGACTCGGGTCAGTATTTTACGAGTTTGGAATAGTTGAATTTATAATTTACTGTTTTCTGCCTCATGAACAGCGAGTACATTAATGCTGTTTAGGATCCTAATACCAAAATCAGCACACAAACCAGTGCTGGTTGTTAATTCTGGATGTAAAAATTTTGCGTGTGACCTTCCCCTCCCCCTCAACACAGACTTTTTTTTTCCCACTTACATGTTTGTGGCGTAATGCTATTTGCTTCAAGTAATACTTAACTAAGGAAATAACAGAGCTATCCTTTTCTCACTTCAGTGAGGAACAATCGCGACTGGCAGCAAGGAAGTATGCCAGGGTTGTTCAGAAACTGGGTTTTCCTGCAAAATTTTTGGATTTTAAAATTCAGAACATGGTGGGCAGCTGTGATGTGAAATTTCCCATCAGATTAGAAGGACTGGTACTCACACATCAGCAGTTCAGAGGCTTGTCTATGTTTCATTCTTGCTGCATATTGACTAGCTTAGAGGGTGACATCTGTTTAAGATTATTCCCTTTCATGAGAGGGAAACCCACATCTTTGTTCCCATCATGGCTCTGCCTTGGGTTTAACTGAGGTTGCACATTAAACCCATCAAAATGATCTTCCCTGCACCTCTCTCCAAGTTTTAGTGAAGTCTACATCCGCTCTGCCCAGTCCTGCAGACGAAAGACTGCAGTATGTGTCTGCAAGCACGTTTAAACACTATCACTCTCTTCTCTTACAGCTACGAGCCAGAATTGTTTCCCGGCTTAATCTACAGAATGATCAAGCCAAGAATTGTTCTGCTTATTTTTGTTTCTGGAAAAGTGGTTTTAACTGGTAAGTGAAGACGCTGTCTTACTCCAGTAGGCTAGATTTAGATTGCACTATGGAGAACACACAATAGTCCCAGAGGTACATACGCTGCTTAGGTACTGTCCTTTAGAGATGACGGTACTGATAAAGAACAGATAGCAGAGTGTTCTGGGGATGAGAACGCACAAAGGAAACCGCAGGTTTGGCTAAATCCGTATAAGCAACGATTGTGAATCCTAATAGAATATACAGGTGCTGTGTGTGATGCAAGAGCACAGGTAGCGTTCCTGGCAAAATCCGAAAGGCTGTTTCTTTGTGCTTGGTGTGTGTGACTGAGCTAACTGGTCTTTGACAGCCTGGCTGGAGGCTGCTGCCATTCTCTGTTGATACAGCAGCTGAAGAAGGGCACATGTGCGAGCTCTAAGACCTCCTTAACCTCAGGCACTCCACCTACACTTTTCCTCTTCCCCTCATGCTGAGTCTTACTATGGAGAAAAAAACCCACAAGACTCAGACAAAAGAAGGAGCATGTCCCTGCAGTACAGCAAATGTCAGGCCTCTGTGGTGTTCTCCATTGCCAGAACTTGCTCGTAGAACTTGTTCGTATTTCCAAAAAAAGCTCCACCACTTTGCTGCAGAAATGTCCCCTGGGGCTGTGCTTTGTGGTTGGCTCTCCTGAAGAAATTACGTGTACAAAAATCCTATTTGCAAGTATAACATAAGCACAAAGATGGTAATGGAAGTTTTACCAGTTACCAGAATACAGAGTGAGAAGGCTAGCAAGATACACTCTGTATGAAATTTGTATTCAAAAAAATATGTAATAAAAATAAGGATTTATGGATATATATAGGTTTTTTATAGAGTTGCATTCAAAGCAGCATTCTAAAAGCTAAAATTAAGTATTAGGGAACCAAATTTGTACAACCTAATTCAATTCTCTTTGTAGGTGCTAAAGTACGAGCAGAAATCTACGAAGCGTTTGAAAACATCTACCCTATTTTAAAGGGATTCAGAAAGACAACGTAACAGTTTCTACATCTTTCAGAGAAATCAGGGGTTTATTTTAAAAGGTATTGTGTATGGCACAGCAGTAACAAGAGATGGACTTCAGTGAAACTGCAACACCAGGACTTGGACTATTTCCCAGTTAGTGCCTACTTCCCTGATGCTCAAGGGGAACTGTATTCTTGATTATGTCTACTGAGTTACTGTGAGTTGCTTTACTGGGCTGTTCCTGGAGCAGTCCCTCAAGTTTTATTTATATTCTAGCTTTTAAATAGTTTTAATGCCAGTTCTATTAATAGAAAATGGGTAAGTTGGTTTAAAAGACAAATGCAACTGTGTCACTCAGTGTATAAACCACTTAAATTGCCATGTATATATGTTTTAACTTCTTTCCATAAGACCATGGTTTTTATAGTTTTCAGAACTTAAACTTTTAAATTTTTTCAATTTTAAAATTTCTTTGGTGCCAGACACATTCCCTCTTTCCAGTATTAAGCAAGACAGAATAAATTTATTAATGGAAGCGGCTCACTGTACATATATATATATGTCGTGGTTTAACCCTGGCTGGCAGCCAGG